CTTCACAAGTTTATTTCTGAAATGCTTCATTCTGCATTTTTACTTATTCTAAGGATTATTCCTGGGAAGACCATGGCTATTCCTTGGTTAATCGTCTTTATCCAGATGTGGGACAACTACTTGATGAGAAGTTCCATATTGCTTATAATCTGACTTACAACACAATGGCCATGCACAAAGATGTGGATACCTCAATGCTAAGACGAGCTATTTGGAACTATATTCATTGTATGTTTGGAATAAGGTCAGTTTTACTCTTTTTATTCAAAACACATTGGCTTTTCTTTCTCAGGTTGAACCAGAACAATTTATTAAGCAAACATGCATGTATTTCTAAACATATTTTTGTTTATGGGGGAGGGCCACTAGTGCTACACTTACCCCATTATTTGTTTTGCCATAGGAACTTAGAAACAATGCAAGTGAAATAACTGCTGCTTGAAAATGAAAGTGTTTTTCTTTCAATTCCAAACAGATACGATGATTATGACTATGGTGAAATTAATCAGTTGTTGGACCGCAGCTTTAAAGTTTATATCAAGACTGTGGTTTGCACTCCTGAAAAGACCACAAAAAGAATGTATGATAGCTTCTGGAGACAGTTTGAACACTCTGAGAAGGTACAGTTGGTGTGTGTGCTGAGGGACAGCCCCACATCAGTGTCTCCCTGACAGCCACAGCTTAAGCTTTAGCTGCTGCTCCTGGGGTTCTGCTCACAGTCAAGTCACTGGGAAGTGTTGTGTTCCTGGGCTGAAATAATCTCCCCTTTCCTCATGCCTGTGTGCTGGGAAACAGCTGCCATAGACTGGGCAAGTTCTGAGCAGTACAGGGGGTTAGACATGATGATGGTACAGCTTCACCTCGACTGCATCAGTACTGCCTGTATCCCAGAGAGGCAGCAAAGTGGTGCACAGTCCATTCATCCCTTGGCAGCAGACTTGGAACAGCTCTCTGGCTGGCCCAGGGTCTTTGCAGTCCCCTGGTCCTTCTGGCATGGATAGCCCCAAGAGAGTTTTTTTGTCAAAGCCTAAAAGCTCTGCTGCTGGGTTACAGCCTGAATTACACCTCCCAGTCACATTTCCTGCTGTTAACTCCCAGATATTGAATCCATTAAGTTTATGTCCTTCAGTTTTTCTTTGAAAAGGTATTTCTTGGCCTCACTAAAGTCTATGCTGAAACATAAAGATGCAGAAATCATTAATGCTCATATCATTAAAGGCTCTAGTTCTTGATAAACCACTTAAAGAAGGGTCCTGTAACTACAATGATTTAATGTTCAAGTAGAACACTGCCTATATTTTGGTTAGACTGACTGTGATAGATGAGCTTTCCAAGCACACAAATCCTTCTTTAAAGCCCAAAACTCTGCATCTCCATAGCCATCCAAAGCCAAGACTCATTCACATATGTGTCACTGAATGCAATAACCACACATTCTCACAGAGATCATGCAAATGAAACCACACACAGCCCTTACATGCCAGAGCAAACTCACAGCAACCTGCTGTCAGTGAAAAAATACTTTCACACCCTTCCCCCCACAAGTTTCTGATTTCATCCTCAAAGAAATGCAATAAAGGCATTGAGGAGATGATGTGGGGAACTAAAATTCTTAGCTCCAGTAGCTACTGAACACTTGTGTATCAGCAGAGATAGAGGGTTTATCACACTTGAGAGTTTTTCTGGTGCTTCACCTTGGCCAACCACTCTGTGTTGTTCAGGTGGAAGCTGCCTGTGTGTTTCTCTCTCAGTCCCCAGGGACAAATGTCCTTATCACCTCTGCCTTTGCTATCACCTCCCTCTGCTCCACAGGTACTCACTGCCCTTCTGCCTTTAATCATTAGCCTCACTGAAACTGAGCAAGCTGGGCATATTGTGCTGCCAGAGAAGGAAGGGCTTGTGTGCTTGAAAGCTTGTCTGTTATTTCCAGCTAAACCAGCTGGTCTGCTAAAGGATGATTTCCTCTTCCTATGGCCCTGGGCCTACATAAGTGTGCCCACGGGCCAGTGCCACGCTGTGCCACAGGGTGTGGCACTGGTTCCTGTGCCCCCCTCAGTGAGCTCCAGAGCGGGGTCTGGCTGTGACACGGGCAGTGCTGCTGCACAGTGCCCACAGCCCCCAGGCCTCCTGTGGCTGCAGGCGTGGCGGCGAGCTCGGTGCTAAAGGAGAACTTCTCTCACTGCAGGTCCATGTAAATTTGCTTCTGGTAGAAGCTCGGATGCAAGCCGAACTACTTTATGCTCTGAGAGCTATTACTCGCTATATGACCTGATGTCTCTGGCTGCCTGTCGACGTTGGAATGTTCTGCAGCTGCAGTATGGCAGAGGAAGATACGAAGCCTCAGGACCAACAGTAGCTATAAGTTAAGATGCCCATTGTGCCATAACTCCTTTAGTTTCAGCTATTTCCATGTTTGGAATATCATTGCTGCCGCTGGGCAGCGAACGCTTGGCAGTTGACAGACAGGGTTGTGCAGAAGTGCTGCCTGCTCATGGTATTTTGGCTTTAGACAGCCCGGGACATTCTCTGAACTTGTGGCAATATAGGAAACCATAGATACATAGATCTTGTGTTAAGGCAAATACTGCGGGAGTCGGAGTGTGAATAGAACTGGGACTTGATGGCATTTGCTTTCCCTACGAGAATAATTCTAGAAAATCTTGATGCTGCTATTTGTGCAGGTGGAGTGAACAGACCCAGGCTGTTCCAGTTGAGCTAGAAGTGAAAGTGAGCACTGCTATTGTCTGAGCCTTTATTGTGTGTGGTTTCAAAAAAGCCTTGTTATTTAGATTCCCTGTTTAATCAGAACTAAACCTCTTCTGTCCACACTGATAATTTGAAAGATAGCAGTCAATTTTCTCAACTAGTTTAGCCTTAAAAACAGGATGTTTGTTCAGCATTATTTCATGAGCTCCAAAGTGCAATGGTCTTCCTATGGAAAGAAGGGGACTGGAGTCCTCAAAGCTTCTTAGAGATCTACCTACACAAAGTGTCAAGGAGCTTCTTGTCCTCCTTTTCATGGATGAACCAAGAAGGAGCTAGGAAAAGGTGTGGGAATGTTGTTCTAGACTGCCAAACAGTCCTACTGTATTACATGCCCAACGCTGGTCTTAATGATTTTTGCAGTGCTTAAATAACTAGGCTAAAAAACATCTATTTTTAGTAAATCAAAACGTGATTAAAATGCTGACGTTTAATATACAGTGGTTTTGGAGAACACATGAATACTTTTGTATGAGTGTGAATTGCTTTTTAAATTTGTCAGTATTACTGGTATTTTTGAAATAAAGGTAACAACTTTTTCTCTTGGCGTTTCTGTGTGGTTTACCTTTAAGCTTCTGTTCTTACTGGTTGTAAGACCATTTAAAATGTTTGAAACAGTAACTGAGCAAACAGTTAAAATCATGAGCCATGAATTTTTTAAGTGAGTCTGAAATGGTGGGAGGAAAAGTTTAAAAACAGAGCTAGGGCTTCACTAACTGTAGTGGGAACACCTCTTCTGTACTGCTGATATTTTCACCCATTTGGACCAAGCTATCTCAGGCACAAGGTGTGATTCTTGGGGTGGGACTCGATTGTGCTGATGGGTCCTTTCCAACTCGGCTGATTCTATGATTTTCTGTGACTCCGTGAAATGGATTTTCCCAAGCCCATAAGCAGTTTAATTTCTGTCCTCTGGCCTAGGTCTCAGCTCAGACTGGTTTCTTTTTCTACAGAACCTTCTGAGAACAGTTTTAAGTTTACAGTCCAAGAAGCTAAAATATCTAAAAAGATCTAGGGGAGAAAGATTAATAAACTGTCAAAAATTGTGACTAACAGGAAGCATCTGGTGCTTCCTCTTAACTGAAAATACAGGATTTTTAATGTTCCAAAAACAGAGCAAAACTTTCCTGTCTTAAGGGCATTGTACAGCTGAGCTGTGCCTTTCCAGTCTGTGAACAGTTCCTGCAGCGCTTGAGTCTCCAGGTGCTTTCTGAGGTCAAAGGTAGACCTGAATTTCTCCAAGAAACCTGAACTGGCCATTTCCATCCTATGCTCTCCAGCCACATCCAAGTGCCTCTCACTTTCCAAGCAGTAAACACTGCAGTGGATCTGTGTGTGAGTGGCTTCATCTGGTCACAGCTGCCATCAGAGCAGAAGCCACAACCTGCAGGCAATCCCAACTTCCTGGCCAGTACTCCTGGGCAGCTCCAGGAGAGCCCCAGCCCGTGGCTGTGAAGTGCAGCAGCCTCTCAGCTGTGGTGCTGGCAGCTCTTCCCAAGGGAGAACAGGAATGGGCTCCTGGACACCAGAGAGCTGCTGCACTGAGGTCTGTGGCAGAGATACCCAAATGGTAAACAATGCCATAAGAAACCTGAAACCCAGCATTCTGGGGCTGCTTCTTACTACTCACAGATTTTTCTTCAGAGAAAGCCAGAGGCTGGTATAGCTAGACAGGCGGGGTGCTCAAGAGTCCTGTGCCACCCTCTCTTCTCAATCCAGCTCTGTGAATGTGCCTCTTCCTGTGCAAAGGCCAGAGCTCACACATGGGGGCTGCCCCAGGATCCCCAGCTCTGCCCAGCTGCAGACACAGTGCTTCAGGCTCCTGGTTACAGTTTGATTAGCAGGAACTGACATAATTAGTGTTGTATTTGAACAAATCTTAATTGCCCAAACACCACCTTGACTTGAGCCAGCCATCAGCATCAGCTGCCTTCTGACAGAGATTCAGCCCTTGTCAATTCTGATTAGTCCTCCTGACAGGGCTTAGCCACAGGGGCCTTTTCCAGTGCCCCCACCCTGCCCTGCACAGCCGGATGTTTGCCTGCCTTGCTGTGACACAAATGCCAGGAACAAATGCCTCCAGCTTCTTCCCCACAGGGACTACTTACCCAGCATCCTTTCTTTAATACTCTCTCAAAGCAAATCCATTCTTCTCTCCCAGAAACAAATGGGACATTGAAACCATTTATCTTCCCTTCAACTTCAGCTAAAATTAAAATGGCAAAAGAAGGGATGATAATTGAGATATTTTTGAGCTGAGCAGAGCTGTTGTTGGAGCCAAACCACACAGAATGCTGAGCACTTCTCTCCTGTGGATCAGCCTCTGTGACAGAGGCCGCCACCACACAAGCTCCCAAAGCAGGGCTGAACCTTGCTGGGCACAAGTAACACCTGAACAGCTGAGACACAAAGAATGGAGCAAATTTTATCACTTTCACTGAAGTTTCCTCCTCACCACTCCCAAAACCTGGACCATGAAATCTCCCTTTCCTGCCCCATAAAAGCAGGGATCTAAACTAGGAAAGAAGTCTTGCTGCCCTTCTACCATGGTGCTACTTCCCAGCCTCTCTCTCCTCCCCTGGAAGCAGAGGTCTGGGCACTACCAAAGGCAGAGAGAGCAGTTCCACTGAGGGAGGAGCTATGAATCCCTGCCTCCCAACACATTTCTCCAGCCTCTTGCAGCACTGCCAGGCTGGAGCTGCTGGTGCTGCAGGGCCCAGGGCGATGCTGCTGGCCCACGGGAGCAGGAGCCTGGCAGCCCCTGCCCAGCTGCTCATTCCAGTAATCTGAGGTCAGCAGAGAGAGAAATGGGTCAGGGCTGTGCAGCTCCCTGTGGCCAACCGGGCTGGGAATGCTCGAGGCCGGCAATGCGCCTGCTGCGCTAATCCATGGGCTACAGGGACTTTTACGTGCTGGAAGGATGAAACTGAGCAATAAACAAGGCAGCAGCAGGCAGGGGGAACAGGGAGAAAGAGGCTGTTATGGCCCCACAGATGGAGACACAGGTTCAGGGGAGACAGCTGGCCAAGAAGTCTGAGAAGTAGAAGCACACAGGCAGCTCCTGGGAGTGTGGGACCAACTGAAAAAGGTAAAATCTTCTCTTATGTCAGGGATATGGGTGCTTTGCCTAAAGATGGGAATTCCCAATCCCAGAAAGACCAGCACAGCTGGGCCTACATCCCACCAGCACCAAGGCAGCAGCTGGGTTAGCTGGGATACCCTAGGCCCTACCCCCCAGTGTCAGAAGGAAAAGGGAGTGACTTTCCCTGACCACCAACAGTGTTCGATCTGAAGAGTGAGGGTCATGAAGGAGCACAGGACAATGCCCCACCAGCACCAGGTTACTCTGTCACAGAAGCTCCTTAAGGTAAAAGTGTGTCAAAGTCTGTAGGTGAGATGTGGCTCCTGTCACATAACATTTGTTTGCACAACATTTTTGGTACCACAGAGGTCCAAGTACTCACTCATAACTTACTTTTTAAAAATCAGACGTTCAGCAAATATTTTTCCAGTGAAGAAACAATGCAATTACTAGACAAGTCACACTGAACAGCTGCTTCATCAGCTCAGGTATATTGTAAAAAGTAATTACACACGCAAAGATTTCATACAAGCTCTTCAGAAGACAGCATCCAGTATATAAATGCCAGGCTTTTCTGACTTTTTTTTAGAATAGTCATGCTCTCCAACAAGCTTACTACTGGCAATGTACAGGTATATTAGAAATATATGGTTTACCTGATAAAAACACCCCAACTGATTAAAATGGAGTGATAGACTCAGCTGGAAGAGTGATGGCTTTGAATTCTGTCAAGAAGTTTTGCTGCCACGGGTTTGAACTCTCTTTCCCAATATACTCTTTGGCAGTCCTTTATATCTTTGTCAAGGCTGCACTCCAACTCTACCTCTTCATCTGTAATCAAGGAAATACTGTCATCAGTTCCAAATAAAAATACATTCAACTACATATTTTGTGACACAGGCAGCTTAGCAGCTGTGTATGCTGATGGCTTAAAAACAACTGCTCTTGAGATAAGTTAAGCATCACTGTTTGAGAGTCTTAGATTTAATGGAAAAGAAAGGATGGTAAGGTCAGTAGAAGAGTGAAAATGGTACTGCAAGTTCTTTTATTCTCACACCTCAGGGGTGTCTCTGAGATTGATCATTTATTGTGACTGTCAGTCTGGAAAGTACCCAGGGTTTAATACTGCCCACAGCAATTTTGCTGAGGTAAGCAATCCATTCATCTAACTACAACTATGTTTTTCCTGTCCCAAATTGCTCTGCTAATCTGGAGACTTTTTCAAACTCTATCTACTCTCACAATGAAGGAACTTGAACCACACTGGTTATTGGATTTACTGATGCCCTCCCTTCCTCACAGATTTCAAAAATAAAACAACAGGACAGTCCTTATTAAAGACAATGTTAGGAATAAAAGGAAGCCATTGGTCATTTTTTCCCCCTCCATTTTGCTTAGCATTGGATGTGGCAAAGAGACAAACTCAGAGAAAATACAAATCAGTCTGCAACCAGAAGCATTCTCCTGAATCAGGAATCCACAAACACAACTGATAAGGCTGAATGTTTTCACAGAGTTTAACAGAAGGATATTTGACAGGATATTTGACAAACAAACCTAATATGAAGGTAGAATCCTGCTCCAAATGGGCAATACTTAATCTTTGGCCTACACTATGAAAAAGCACCAGATTCACAATGTGTTAAATAAACAACTCTGTAAGGGAGCTAATTGCACAGTCACAGCAGGTAAAAGCAACTTGGGGCTAAAGAGAAACTTCAGTTACCCACATTTTGAAACAAACTTTATGTATGAGATGCTCCAACAGCAGTTACTCCCATCCAAAAGCAAGCCAAGGTGCCAGTGCAGATCAGATGGCCTGAGCTGAGACAGGTATGAAGGAGCAAGTGACATTCCTGTGTATCATTTCCAGCTCACACAAAGCTACCAGCAACTGCAGACAAGTGGCTCCTGTGCCACTACACTGCAACTACCTAAATTAAACAGAGGCTGATGGTGAGAAAGATTCCAAAAGGGGTTCTACGTAAGGAGATGACATTTAGAGTCTTTCCTAATAAAATAAAGAGAAAAAGAACACCCATTCTTTCAAGAAAGATATCATATTTCTGCAGGAACAAAGCTTTAATCAGAGATAAAATCCAGCCTCTGACATCAAATCTATATTTGATGATGTCACAGGATAATTTAGGTTGGAAAAAACCTCTGGAGCAGAGTCACCATGTATCAGCTTGCTCTAGTCTGTGTTGAGTACTGAACACCTTCTAGGGCAGCAGCCTGTTCCAGTGCTTAACTCCTGCTACAATGGAAATCTCTTTTCCTAATGCTTAATTGGAATTTTGTCTTATTGCAACCTGTGCCCATTAGCTCTTGTCCTGTCAATGGCACAGTAACCCAACATACCTAAAATCACTCTCAGCAGCAGAGAAGCCAGAGACCCTGAAGTGGAAAATAAGGGATTATGGGATTTGTTTTCAAGGAGAATTGCCTTGCCTACTCCTGCTTTTTTCTACCCAAATTAACTCTGTTCAAACACAGACTGAGAGGCATTTCTCCCTTTTATTAGACAGCTGTGCTCCCCAGAAGTCGACTGAGTATTTATGGAATCACTGAGGTCGAGAATTCCAGCCTACAAGAACAAGGGTCAGAAGCAGTTCAAAGCTGAAGTGTTGGACTGAAGCAGTAAATTTCCCAAAGCAGAACGTGAGTAACGCTGTGGATCAGCGAGGATCAGTGTTCCGCATGCAAGCTGTGCATCCTCAGATAATTTAATTTTCCCACGACTCTCCTCAAAAACCAGCAATATTGGGTCCTGGCCAAAGAGCATATGTGCTGGCTGCAAGCCCAGGAACAAGACAAACACAGTGGGCCTGCATACTGTGGGGGAAACTGGAGCGCAGACTCCTGCAGTCTGCAAGGGCTGCCCATCCTTGAAACACTGGCGAGACAGGGGCTGACAGCCCTGGAAGCTCTGTCATGTCAGGTAAGAGTTCACATGGACTGAGATTCCAAAATAACCTCCTGGAATTGATAGTGGATGTAAAAGTCAGCACAAGAAAAAGTCTGGAGGGAGAGGGAGAAACTTTATTTTCAGTGAATGACCAAACAGAAGAATGTTCTCAAGACAGAAGCTCATCTCCATCGCTGCCTGTGAGGCCAAGGCAAAGCTGCTGCCAGGGCCTGGGAACAGCAGCCTCGAGGAGCTCTGAGCCAGCAGAGTGACATCAAAGTCAAGCAGCTGAAAGAAGGTGAATGACAAGTGCCATTGGAAAGCAGGGCCACTGCATCCCAGGCTGCTGGCATCAGGCGGGGAAAAAGAAAAACAAATAGTGCCCTTTGTCCAGCCTTTCTCTTGGGCACAACAGCTTTCCAGGCCACTTCCATTCCCTTTTGCTTCCTTGTATCTTTCGTCATCCTGTGCCAGATGGGGGAGGGGAAAATAAAGGGGAGGAGGCCAAGCACAGCAGGTGAAGAGAGGTGTCTGCTGTGCCATGCTCCACTTCTTCCGCTTCCTGAGGGTGTGCTGACGCTCAAGTACAGTTCACTGGCTGTCAGCAGTTGCCTCCTGCTTCCTGAATGATAGAATCAGAGCAATGACGGTTCAAGGCTGTTACTGGACACAATGGGAGGAGGAAGATGCAGGACAATATCAACCAGCTGCTATTACTAAGATTTGTTGGCTCTCTGCACACAGAGGAACCAGATCCAATGAATAAGATGTGCTTTTTCTACAGCTCCTCTTCTTACTACAGTGTGAAGAATGACTGGCCTTCTGATTTAATTCTAACCTGTTCCTAATTAGTTACCATTACAGCAGCATTGCAATCACAACTCTAACTGCAATTGCAATTGTACACAAACTTCCAGTTGATGAAAGTTATACTGTTCACTGAGAGTTACAACTGCTATCCAGCCTGGACTTTGCAGTCAAATCAATTGCTTCAATAAGGAGTGTTAAATGCAGAGGAAAGCATAAGCATGTACTTTCTTAAACAAAGATATATACCTCTATATGTGTGCCAGAAAATTCAAGCATTATTGTGGCTGTAAAGTTTGCAGATCTCTTGCAGAATGTTGGAAAGTGCAGCAATAACCTTGAAAAGCTGCTACTTTCAGATAAATAGATGGCATTACTACACACATTAAGATAAAGTCCACCATAGCAAAGAATGTAATACAAGGAACTATTGCAGCAGTGAATATCAGTAATTCTGCTGTAACTGGAAAAAAATCCTCACAAATCCACCCACTTTTCTGATTGTCTACAATGAAAGAGACTGTGAGATCTCATGTTCTGTCTGGGTCTGACAGTAAATATACATCTTTAATCCATTTCCAATTAAAATCATATCACATATAGTTAGTTTCCTTCAATTTGATTAATATTTTAAAGATTTTTTTAAAGATAATTGCAAGTGATCTACCCAAAATAAAATCATAAACAAAGCAGTGCTCAAAAACTAAAGGAGGAAAATTACATATACCGACTACAGGACTATTACACAGCACTGAACTATGTAAAATTTGAAGCAAAAGTAAATGCCCGGATGAAAAGATCCCACTGGGTAAGCAAATCAAGGTCCTTACATTAATCTTTCAGCCTTGTGAAGCAATGAGCACACCTTTCCTGGCCTTAGGGAACAGATGAGAAATTGTCAGGATGTTGTCCTTGCCCACAAGGAGCCCATGGAGAGACAAGAAAGGTGGCCAGGCAGGAAAGTCAGCCCACTGCACCCCAGAAACGCCACAATCCCCAGGGAGCCCAGTGTGTGCTGCACAGCCCACACTGGCCAGCCACTGAAAGCTGCAGGACAGACTTCCCACCCAAACTAATCCTGCATTGATTCTGCTCCTTCTGTGTCTTTTATTGAGGAAAAGAGCCCAAGGCTGGGAGTCTCACCCAGAAGTGCTGTGAGCAGCATCAGCAGGGTGTTGGTGCTCCCTCTGAAGCAGGAGGCTGTGCTTGCCACATTCTCGCTGTAGTTCCACAGGGTTTTGCAGATCAAACACGAGAGCTGCCAGTCTGCTGGCCCAAAGTCTTGTAAGCAGTCAATCAACCTGTTGGTACCAAACAAAACCAGTGGTTTGTTCCATGGAATTTACTCCTGAGCTCTTCAAAATCTGGCAGTCTAGAAATGTAAGCAAGCTCTATGGAAGTTTGCAGGAAAATTCTACATTAATAAACATCAGATGCTACTTTCTTCCTCAGTAACTTCCCCCTTTTCATTAACTGTAGTTCCCCAAGGATGTGGACATGCCTTTTGTCTACACATGTGTGTGCCTGCCTGCAGCTGCCCATCCTCTGCAACTTTCTAACCCAAATGACCAATTTCACCCACATACTTTGCAAATGTAACCATTTCAAAGACACTAAAGTTCCATCAAATTTCATTACAGTATGTGACTGTCCCAAATCTGTGACTACCACTAAAGCAGAGATTGCAAACCAAGCCAAACTTTATCAGGCACCAATGATTCATCTGGAAAAGGTGGTGGGAATGCAGAAAAAGCTTCAGTCAGAATATCCATCTTACTACACATCAGATCATCTCACCAAAAAAACAAATCCAAAGGAATCTGCTATTTCCATGATCAAAGAATTACCTTTCACATTCAGAGAAGTCTCACAATTTTGCTTATCTCACCCACTCTTGCATTTCCTCTCAAAAATGCCTGTTTTACTGAGGTGTCCCTTAAATGACAAAAAACCTTTCAGTGCTGTTCTCCAGCCTTAGGAACCCCTCTAAGGTGTTCCTCACTTCTCCACTTCACAGAGAGATTTATAATCTGCTGAATAGCAAAGGATAACTACTACATTCAGGTATGGCTGGAATTACCAGTCATTGAAGACCACCCAAAAAGAGGTTTGCTTTTTTCCTCCTCTCTGAAGGCAGTCATTGTCGAACAACAGGAGGCATCTCATGAAAAGCCAAAAGAACTTGCACTGATTTTTTTAAAATGTGACTCTCTGAAAATACTAATTCCCTATTTTCTTTGGGCCACTATGTATTGGTACAATAACCTCAGTTCCAAAAAAAACAGAGCTGCTTCGGCACTGTCAGGATGATCTCCTTAACAATCACTTCCAAATTATCCAGATTCATTCCAGGCTGTTACTGCTTTTTGTTCTTTCCCTCACAAATTTTCAGACACAGTATAGAAAATTCTGAATTTGTATAGCTCTATAGGCTACAGAATATTCTATATTATAGAAATTTCTCACATTTATTATTCAATTTGCCAGCAACTTCTTTTTATTCTCCTTTTCCAGCTTTATACTGTAAGTTAACTAGAACGTGGGAAGGAAGGACGATAAGACTATGCATTGTTTGCAGTGTATAAAAATGTAATTATATGATGTATGAACAGGAAAGCATTTCAAAGTGAGGCATATTGTTTCATAACTGTGGGCTGCACCAACTGCTTTACAAGCACAGGAACATGATCTTTCATGTTGCTCCAATTAAGCTGGATCCGCTATTATCTGAACATCAAAGCCACAAGCGTTGCATCCACGGTGCTTTTTCAAGGTCTAATATCCCTTACAATGTTACAGTGCCCTTAACTTGGAAGTCCCAGAAAGAAGAGACCCAGGAGCCTTCCCTGCAGAGCATGGCTACATCAGGTAGCTTTCCCTACAGAACCAAGTGGTTACAAAAATTGCAAGGGACCATCAGGTTTATAATTTCCTGAAGTACCTTCACACCTGCCGCAGACACACACTGACCCTGCTGTTCACTGTAGCCCACCTAGGACCCAGTTAAGCCAAGCTCAAGCAGCTGCTGCAAAGCCAGGCTTTAGTTGCTTTCTTCTATGGTACCCTCTGCTGTGTACATCACAGAGGGTCTTTGGGAGACTTTTCTGCAGGGTTTGGCTCTTACGAAAGGCTGGTTCTCACAGAACTTTAGATACCAAGTATCTACTATGCTGGCATCTTTATTACAGCTACTGGCCCCAGAAAAAAAACATCCAATTAAAACTTTTTGGCCAAACTACTCAAAATTACCTTTTCTCAAGTACAATCAGGAACTTACTTTCCAATTCCTCCTTCTTCCATGAGAAAAGCTCGTTTGTTCTCATCTACTGTGAGATTGAGCAGAACTCCACAGGCAGGAAAACAGACCTCTCGGTCCTTGGAATCGAGCAAAGCAATCACAAACTTGTAGACTGGATTGTAAAAAGGAAACAATATTACCAGGAAGATGGATTTACCATACAAGTGGCATTACAACACACTTATTAGAAAGCAGTCAAATGCAGGATACCCTATCCAAAAATTCACCCTTGTAGCATATTACTGTGATATTTGTAGAGGAGGCACATGACAGAGCAACATACGCTGAACACCAGTTCCTTCAAAACAACAAACCAGAAATTCTAGTAATAAAAATACACCAAAGAAATGTGGAAATCCCATCAGAAGTTGACCAAACTGAATTGAAGCTCATTTCTTGAAATTATCACCTCCCTCTCCATCCCAGAGTCAGCAGAAACTGCAAGGATTTGGCACCTGGCACTCAGAGGGGGAAGTTCTTTCCCCTGTGAGTGCAGAGTTGTCCCAGAGGGCACCAAGTCCAGCCTGGGGCTCCAGTGGGAGCAGCATCCCCAGCTGCTGGCACTGACTGCAGCCAGCCCCAGCCTGGGAGTGGGAGCTGGGCTGGCCTGAGAGCAAGCCCCTCTGCAATTCCTGAGCTTGGCACACCAACACCACTGTCTCTCCAGCTGGAAAATTTAGTCCTTTGACTGAGACTGTTCACCAGGAGCCAGCTCCTAAGAGTCACTTCTCCCTTCATTTATGGTGATGTGCCACCCTTGGAATAAAGAGTTGCATATTGTGACATGATCACCTCACTTTCAGCACCAAGAGGCAGAGAGAAAAAAATTACAATGAAGCGGTGTCTAAGCTGATGACACACCTTCTGTGGATAGCAAGGAGTTGCCATTTTCCCCAAAGCTCTTCAGCTACACAAAGCAAAAGGACTTGAGAAGACTTGTACCCTACTTCACCCTGGGGCAAACAGGTCTTTGCTGAGGCAGACAAATCCAAGCCACATGGTACAAAGTGCTAACAAGCTGTCAAATGTGGGAATCAAAAATCTGAGCTTATGAACCTAAATGAGATTTTAATTGGATTTTAATTGTATATCATATCACTACTAACCTGCAGGATCTGAAAAGCTATTTGAGTAAAGGGAAATTTCAAATTTGAAACTTCAGGAAAAACAGAGTTTTTGTAATATGTACCTTTGTGAAAGTACCATGGCATATTTTTCCTACTCCAATATTTCCATTTTAATGAAACTGAAACGAAATGGTATTTATAATGGCTATTACTGGATTCTAATGTTTGCCTAATTTGCAAAACATCAGGGAAGATTGATTCTACCCTTTAACTGAGACAGCTTATTAACAACTTTTTCTTTTTAGAACTGTGGACATTCAAAAATAGAACTCCTACAAACGCAAAAGTAACTCACTCTTTTTCTGCATGATGAAGTCACGGATCTCATGATGCTGAGAAAGATTGCCAAAGACTCTGACAGCCTCCACAACTGCATCCATATTGTCACTCATTAACAGCTTTAAAAGCACTGTTGGTTTGCAGAGAAATAAATAAAAATGATAAATCACAAATACATGGCTCTTTTTTATCAATGAATATCAGAATGCAAACGGCAACAGCTATAAATGTAAAAAATGGGAGCAGTTGTCTGTCTGGTGGCAGCAAAGGGGGTGAGCTGATGGTAGAACAAGAACAAAGTTGCATATGGCTTCAAAGATAAAACAAAGAGCTCCAATATGGGACTAAGTGCAAGGAATAAACGAGGAGTTATGGAGACAGTCTAAGCACAGCTGTAATAAGGGGAGCCAGTTTTGCTATGCAGTTTTGAGCGGGCTCATGAAAATCCAGGAAGACATAATTAAAAAAAATTAATATAATATAATAATGTAATATGTAAGAGAATTGATTTAGATCCTGAACAGATGGTATTATGGTGGGATGAAATTATTTTCTGACATTAGCTCTGTTTTCTCTTCGTGCTGCTATAACAAGCAAACACATTTTCTCTCAACAGCTACTTAATATTGTCCCATTCTGATACATTCACTTCCTTGCTGCTTTTCTGCTTAGCAATTTCACATATGATCAGTGTGTGCTTCAGCAGCAGGAATGAGACCTTCAGCACTTCCTAGGAAGAGCTACAATCATGGAAGATTTCAGTGCATGGCAGAGAGTGATGTTACAGAAGTTACATTTATGAGTCTTCTGTGAATACAAAGCAAAACACTAAAATCAGTCCATCACACAGAGGACTCAAATAGGTCAACCCTTAGCCCTTCATATGATAGAAGAGATAAAGAAATATAGAAGGGAGGTTGGCTTTGTCCTCATTATTTCTGCCTCTGGATGGTGCAATACTGAACACATCTTGAATTTGTCTTAAAAAGACATCTGAAGGGATTTTGTCCACCACTCATATCAAACAGGAAGCATTCTCAAAATGCCTGCAGCAGCAGAAAGCCTGTTGGTCCTGCATCAAAAGGTTTCCTCTTTCCTCAGTTCAGGAAGGTGATGGGACTGGCTCCACATGCCAACACACAGGACAAAAGTAATCTGTTTTCAACCAGCAACAAGAGGCAGCTGGCTTACAGGTGATAAAATGAGTTGTGACAGAACAGCAGAAATGTCACCTACAGAGAAAATGATGTCTACCAGTCCAGGCACTGGGCTGACAGCCAGGATATCCTTTCCTATTCCTCATTCTACCTGTTGTGTGAACTTCAGGTTCTGTCTCTCCCCAGTGTCTGGTCTATTGAGATAGAGAGATGTGCAAGACACAACCTCTCTACCTTTTGTACAACATTAACACAATAGTCTCAGAAATCATTCAGTTCCTACACATAACTGATTATTGACCACCATGTCAAGAGGGGAGAGAATCACTCAATATAATATTGCCAGTGGATTTACAAGCCAGAAACAGACACAAATCTGATTTTACAGGTATAGAAAGTAAGTTTTTATCAAGAAGAAAAAATCCTCTTGCCATACTGTGATTAGAAGGAAAAAGCAACATGATTATTTTGGCTCAGGTGTATGGATTTTTAACAAATCTGGCAAAAATTGCTCAACAGAAAACAATACAGCAAATTCCCTTGTGGAGGAAAAGAAGGGGTTTTGTGAACAACCCAACTATTTTCATATAAGTCATAGTGTTTTCAAGAAAAATGGGAAATCATTATTGAAAGAGTTTAGCCCTATGAACTTTGTACTCCTGCAAGATAATACCACAAAATGTTATGTGTCTTTCTGTTGTGTCAAAATGTTTCTGCTTTCAAAAAGCTGTACAAAAAGTACTTGTTTAAAAGTCCTTACTTTCAGCAATGTGTAGCTGCTTCTCCTGAACTGCAGAATTCTCCACTTGATAGTAGGACAAATTGTTGATTGCTGTTGCAGCATTGATGACCAACTCTTCACAATCATCGACTGACTTGTATTCTGAGAGTAAAAAAACCCAAAACATAGGCATATGTAGATAAACACACACATGTGTCTACTTTTGTAGTGCATTAGATCCCAGAAGCAAAGTGAATAATAGTTTATGTGGCCGCTACTACAGTCAAACCTTCTGTTGTTGAGTAACATGGCAGAAGTTAACAGGAACACCTGATCCAAAAATGGCAATACAAAACCATTTTCCTCATTATTAATTCAGAGAAATCATTGTGACTCAGGCAAAATAGTTTAAAATTTAGTTAGTTAAGACATTAGACAAATCCTCTTTGCTGTTTTAAGATGGCACTGAGGAGAGTCCACATGCAGAAACAGGGCTGTGTGATAGACATGGAGAAAAAATTGTTAAAAACCCCTTCGACAATATTTGAAAGACTTTTCTCTCAGATTTCCTGACAGAATGTTAACATGTAAAAAAGTCTGAAAGACTTATTTGTCCGAGGTCTCTGGCCTCAGAAGCCAAGAGTGAAGGAAATAAAAGAGGGGTAAGTTCATAGGGAGACAGAATATTTTGTAGTAAACTGACTGATAAAGTGCTCAAGAAGAGGAGAGGGTAGCAGAGAGAAGCTCTGAAGGTCAAAAGCACTTACAAAATCATTAAGACATTTTCAACCCATGAGACAGAACCAAGTTGTGCGTCTGACTTGTCTCATCCCTCATGACTGCTAAGACAGTGTACAATCAGGTTGATTACCTTAACATAATATTTAATGTTCTTATTACACAGTAAAATATACTGAGCTGTTTAACATGTATCTTGTCACAGTTAAACTCTGTTATGGGCCAAACAGACCAGCCCTAGTCTGTAATCAGATTTACAAGGGGATCAGTAAGTAGTAAAGGAACTGCAGTCCTAATCCTCCATTTGGAGGGAGACACTCTTCCATCTGAAAGAGATAAAAGGTTGGAAGACTGAAAAAGAAGGAAAAACTAAGAGAAAATTCTTTAAAGAAGCTGAAAGTTATGGGTGCAGAGAACAGGAACAATCCAAAACAGTCACAAAAAATACAAACCTTTAAAAAAAAACAAACCACCACCAAACACATCTATATAGCACCTAATAAGAACAAACTTTCCTTATATATTAACTCTCAGTGAGATGTGTTTAAAATAAAATTTGTTTTCTTATCTTTAATGATCCTATCTGCAAATCTGATCACTGAATTAAAGACTTCTACAACATCTTTCCCCAGATACTGAAAAGTCAGTACCAAAGCAGCAATGCTTCTCAAACAGGCCTCCTACATAAAACAGTTTATGAATGTCAGCCAATTGACTTTGGGGTTTCTTTGCAATGGAAAGTCTTAAACTCTCCTTACAGGCTGAACAAAGATAACAAGCACAACATAAATGTTATTACCTAGTACTGTAACAAGTAATCCTACAAGAGGATGGGCAGCTGCCAGAGCTGCACCTACTCTAGGGTGAATGGAGAGGTTGGCCAGCACTCTGATCAGTTTTATCAGAACATCTTCTGCTTCTGAAGGATACTTTGGTTGGCTTTTTCCTTTTCTATCATGGTGCCATGTCGGTGCATTCAAATCAAGTTCATAGTAGGTTTGGAATAAGGATGTCAAGGTGTTAACACTTCCTTTTTCTTTAAAAAATTGCTCCCGGGACTGGTCATTCCTTGCTGTTAAATTCCCAAGAATGAAGATGATACGGATAACCAAATCCTGTAACAAAATAAACAAACAAACCACATTACATGGACAACAGCAGAAGGTGGCAGCTCCTTAAAAAGAAGACAATACTTAATTTGCTTCCCAATTCACATAACAGCACATCCAGAACAACTGAAGGAATGCCAAACACAGTAGCTAGAAATAATTTTTTATGCTACCAATTTTCAAAACTTGATTTACAGAAGAAATCAAAAACATCTGACAGAACTAGATACCCACTGGAGTAATTACTAATGCGATATACTTAGGAAAGGTCATCTATTTTTACCAAGCCCACAGTAATCTTAAAACATCTTAGACCACACTTTATATAACTAGAATAATCAGAAAAATCAGCAGAATTTACTATCTTTCAAGTAAGAAAGTTTCAGCTGTGACAGGAAGAGACCACAACCTTTCCTTTTCTAGGTCTGGTAACCATTTTAGAAGTTAAACTCTTTCCCCTTGATTTGTTACTGTTAAATCCAAATTAGGTTTTATTCATTTTGTTGTTCATTCTAACTGCTTACAGATAGCTGACTTATTTGTTCCTAATTTTTACTAGAAATACAATTTAAATTCACTGGTCTGTCATTTCTCAGTTCCTTCTCTTTCTCTTTTTAAAAACAGGCACCCTACAACCTTGCAATTCTTTATAACTTTTCAAGAATCTCAGACACTGAGATCCCCTTTTAAACACCAAAAGGTAAATTGCATCAGCTGGTTTGATGACATTTAATATGCTTCAGTTTGTTTTTTAGTGACAAAAGACTCCAGGCTAAAGTAGAGATTATTCATTTGGTCATACATAACCCTTTCAGAAAAAGAAGCAAAAAAAAAAAAAGGCATTTCACACTTAACTATCCACAGTACCTGCCAGTAATGCACAGCTTCTTCTGTACACCAGAGAAATTATTTCCTTGTTGTCTTCTCAATTTACTGTAAAAGGTTTTGTTTCTTTTTATGTCCCTTTTTAGTTGCACCTCACATTGTGCTCTGCTGGGGTTTTCTTCTGATTTTATATGCTCTTCCTACCCTTTTACTTTTATCATTGCTGAATGAGACCTACTTTCTATTTTTGTAAGGTATCTTGAGATCTCATAATTTAAGCAAGTTGCTCTCCTAAAGCACTTTCTAGCCTGACCTTCATTTTGTACATTCTGAGATACAACCTTTTAGTGGCAAGACTAGAGGATCCTAACTGAATGGCAATTCAACAACATCCCTGCCTGTTTATTACCCACCAGTATGTGACAAGAAAAAAAAAATTCTGAAAGTCTAAAGTAACTCAGGTTTAAACTACTTCAAACATCTCCCTCTGTCACTTGCATCAAAATCTACTCATTTTAAAAGGAGCCTGTAGCTTTAGCTTAATGGTGCAGGTAAAGTAACAGCATTTCTTCAAGTATGAGAAACACCTGCCTTTAGCTGCTAACCTGCTGTACTTGCACTAACCTAGAATTTTACTGAACAATTATTCCACTGTTTTTGTTCAAATATCATCATTATATTTACACATATTCTAACCCTCCCTGGTATTAGCAACATAAGTTACCCAGGCTCAGTCTAACTTGTTAAACAAGCTAATACTGAAGTAAAAAAGATGTTTAGGCAGCAACTCCTCCTTTGATACCTGCCTTCATCAGTAAGTTTCAGGTCCTAAGCCTCTGCCACAAGACACTGGCAATAACATCCTCTCAGGAAGATGAGTGCTATGTCTGAACATGAGAAGCAGCAGTCTCCTATGTGAGGAAATGGTTTTCACATTCATGTATTTAATAATATCACTCTGTAGGACCCACTTCCACTTTTTTTTTTAACTAGGCATCACATTTTTTGTTAGGCTCTAAATGTCATCACGACAATTTTTTATGAATATTCTTAATGACTAACCACTAAGAGCTTTCACCTTTGCTGGCACAACACCCAACTCACAAAGGCTGTAAAAATTTGAAGCAAACAACTGATGAATCAGAAGAGAGAACTGAAAAAAGCAGGCAATCTAGTTTGACTCGTTTATATTGACTTTCTAATTTTGGTCAAAATGGTATCAGCCCAGCAACAGCTCTGCCCAATCAGGAAAGAGACAAACAGGTACCACACAGCAATCAACTGATATTTTGAGAAGTGTGATCTCAGCTGTGCTTTCCACCTACAGCCCAGCAAAACAAACTTATAAAATACTTCTTTTTTAGCTAAGCACATCCGGCTTTAATAGAATAGTACCAAAGTTGCATTATCTTTCAGTGAAAATTTAACAAGCAAGGACAAAGAGGAAAGCAGTACAACTTCTCCTGAGTAGTACAATGCTCAAGGATTTGTATTATTTTTGGCTATATTTCTTTAAATGCTCGTGGGTAAGGACTGCAAGAGTAAGAAGCAGCATCTTAGAATGGCTGTGTAAAAAGACACATGCAGAACTACACGATATTTTGAAACTGCTTGCAAGACTAAACCTGTGCAAGGCCCATGGGCCTTTCTGTAGCAAAACCTCAATATAATAAATGAGATTACTGTTCATTTCCACATTTGGAGCATTAACTACATATGGAATTTCAGACATTCTTTCACACTTACAGAAAAATTACATTTATCAGATCAATTTCTATCATATGGAAGTTTAAACATGTATTGCACTAAAGACAAACTAGATTAAAGACAGGAATTACACTCAGTTATTTCATCTTTTTATAGTGAGGCATTCATGTGAGACATGAACACAGAGTGTACTAAAACCTGAGTGGAAGGCTATATACGAGAGCACACAGCTTCACCTACATAAACAAATTCGAACAAACAAATCAAGAAAAGCTTGAGAAGATCTTTCTATTTGCTTCGTATCTGTGAAGAAACTGTGATATTTTGGGTTTTGAGGTGGTAATGGCACCACATACTCCATCAACATGTAACTCTTATTCTTCTGGCAACTGACACATAAACAATTGATCATCACGGATATGAAAGGTTTCTTGGCTTATCTACTTCTAAAACCCTCTTCCTTGCCCTGCCCTAGCAGCAAAGGTACCCCATGGACCTGCTGAGTCACAGAACCTGACAAGAGTTTATCTTGGCAATAAAGTACACCTGCCTTCAGTGTAAGCATGATGAGCACAGGTACAGCCTGTACAGGCATCTTATCAGGAAGGAAGGAAAGTAAATCAGGTCAGTAGTTTCTAACTAAAACAAGATCAACAAGGAAGGGCAGTCTAATCTAGAACCTGTGAATGTTGGCCAAGTACCTGCTGTTACTTTATCTGGGCCTTCAGAATGAGGGGGGTAGTACAAAACAAAAGGTCAGATGCCAGCAGCTGAGTTCCTATTGAATCATCAGCTGCAAATGAAATCTGCTTTCCATGTTACCCAAATTTCAGTGGAGTTAGTCAAAATTCTACCACCTGCCCTGCTTCTCATTCAAATCTAATTTACACTTTACTTCCAAATTTGTATTTCTGCTTTATTATGCACCTTGGAAAGAAAACTTGGGAGTTTAATAATCTACTTATAGGCAAAATTATTGTAGTTATACTAACCCAGAGCTAATCTCTTCCAAATACAGTAAATATTCATCTTGAAGTGACATTCTAGTTAGAAAAAATTCTGTTCAACCACAGAAACAACAGCTGTCACAATATGAAACTCAATTTAAAGAATTTTAAAAAGGGGCAGAGGGCAGTGGTGTAGAACACACTGGAAATATCAAAACCAAATAGAGAACCTCCTGACTAAGTACTGTGAAATAAGGAGCAGAGAGAAGTTTTGCCACAGGGACAGTAGGGAGTACCTTGTCAGTGAAGAGACCCTCCTTCCCCCCCAAATATTAATGCATTTGAGGAGAAGGAGAGACCATTAGTAAAATGCAATTATACTGTATCCACACCATAGGACCCTACTCAGTAATTTCTACATCCCAAAATCTGATCTGTTCAGCTAAACTTTTCAGAAAATGGTTCATCTGCACTTAGTGAATTTCAGCTATCAAGAACTTGTGCTTAGGTTTGTTTGTGGACAACAGGGAAAGGAAAAGAAGAAAAGGAAGCACACTATTACTAGAACAATATTTGACGAAAAGCTGTGTAGGCTCTCTAAAAGAACAGTATTTCAGAAATTAACTTAATAAAAAAAAGTTGAAAACCATATCCTCCATGGTATTGCTCCAATGACTGCTGATCTCTCTTGTTAAAATCTTTATTCTTATTACTAATTTGAACAACTTTAGCCCCTATTTCTTATCAGCTCTTTTTTTTTTACTAGATTAAAGACTGGTCTTCTAACAGAAATGTTTTCCTTGTGCAGATTCTATTAATAGGCAGCTTGCTAATGGTCTGACCTTTGTCATGGATAAATTAATTTCCTTGGAGCATTTTAACTCTAGTAATTCTTGTAGCTTTTTTTGAGGTGTTCGCAAGCTTTCAGCATCATTTAGAGAAGTTAAAACAAAAATTTTCATAGCAGTGTGTCTCACCAAGCAGTATTATTATTATTGATATTTTATTGTTTACCTATCTAGTAATTACATACACTCACTTGTATCTTTTGATACACCAGAACAGCAGGTTTCTATATGATGCATGCCAACTGGTTCATTACAAACTCTGAACACTGCATTTCTGATAATTTTACATTCAGTGTACAGATCAAATATTCTGCACTTTTCTTAACGTTTTTGCTTTTTCTTCCAGCCAAAATACCCCAAAAAACCCACAAAAAACCAAACAAACAAAAGAAAAAACAAACAAAACACCCCAAAAAATGAAAGCTTTAGGAAGATGCACATACACTTTTCAGCTCAGCACACTGTCAGAAATCATACTCTTAGGAAAGATTGACCTTCTGTAGTTATTCACCTTTATGAGCAGGGAAATTCCTTCAGAGTTGTCAGAATATCTATCCTAGAATTGCTACTTCCTTCTTGGAAATAGAAGCAAATTCAGAGAGAATGACTGATCAGTTACAAATATGCAAGTACACACACAAAATACTGGAGAAGAATCTTGTATTCTTTTGTTCTTTAA